GCCGGCCATCCCTAGGGAGCTTTCTGCCAGCGAGACTTTGCCGCCCCTAGAGGCGCGGGGCGGGGGGCTGCGCGGGGCGCCCCAACTCCGCTGCCATCGCCTCCGAGGTACTGCTCAACTGCCCCGTACTTGCTTTGCTTTAGTTGGGGAGAATACCTTTTTACAAGTGAGAGGGGGTCTCCAGTACTGCCTAGAAGTCTAAACATCTTGGGTTTAAGTTTTCACCGTCAGCCGTTTTGAAGGGAAAGCCAGAACAGTACTATCCCCCCCCACCCCCCAAAACACCTGTAAAATCATGTTATCACTGAGTACAGTTTCATGCAAAAAGACAAAGCAACCCTCACGATTGCCAGGAAATTCCGTCTCCCGATTTCTATATTTGTGGATTTTATATGTAATCAACTATGTCAGATAAAGGAAACCTTTATTGAATGATTCAAAAATTTAAAAGTGATTTAAAACAGAGGAATTTATTATGCACAGAAAACAATGTCTTGTATCAAATATTTTTATTAAAAGAATGTTTCATTATTGCATTCAAAAGAACGCTACGTTTGTTGTGCGGGATGTTTCTGGTTTCATTTCAAGTGATTTCATCCCTACTGCTACTGCACGAGGACCGGCTCAGTTTGTGACCAACTCTGATGCCTGTCCAGAGAGCAGGAGATCCGGCTTGCGCTCCGGGTGACCCGAAATGCTGACGCAGTCATAGCCCGCACAAGTTTTTGTTTTAACCTTCCAAGCGTTTTAAAGAACATGTTTAACAAATATATATATATAATCTAGGGCTCCTGCTGTCAAGATTTCTGTCATGGAAACCTTGTTTGAGAACGGTGTTAATAAAATTCTATTGCAATTTTTTTTTCTAGAAAAAAATAAATAACACAAAAAAAGAAGAAATTCCAAAGTAATAATAAAGACTTTTCTTGAAACAGATTAAAAAGTTTGCTTACTATTTGATTAAATAAATTTACTTATGTTTCTTTAAGGTATTTTAATTTTTTAACGTCTCTGTGGAGTATTTGTATGATACCATAATGTATATTTCTGTAGAATCAAATTATATAAACAGTACCAATATCATTATAGAAAAATAACATTTTAATGTATATTGTTCTAACCAATCATATTGTGAATCATTTTGAAGTTCATTATAGAGATATTGATAAATTGTGAACTTGTCTTAATGTTTTTTTTATTAACCAATATTATTTTAAACCTGAGATTATCACATTCATCAGTTGGTGAGTTTTGAAGAAAAGCTAAATTTCATTTCAACTGACAAATGTATATGGTTTTAGTTCAGTGTTGAAGAATTTTAATACAATATTAAATTACTTGAACTGAATAGTTCCTTGTATATATTTTGCCTATTCACTGTTGATATGTATGTAGTAAACTGAGAGGAAAATAACACTAAAATATGGTACCAAAAGGAACTTGTACAGGAGTGAAGCAGCCAGGGCTTTGCTGAAACACAAACATATGTGTAAATACGCTTGGGCTTCCAGTTATAAATTTTGTAATTTTTATCATTATTTATATCCTATTTTAAAAAGCACACAAAATAAATCAGAAGTACAGTGACTGGTGCTTGGCACCCTTCTGTGAGCACCTCCCCACTCCCACTGAGGAGTGGTACCAAAGGGCCCCACCCTCTCAGCGTCCACAGATAGAGTTGATGTTGTTTTTCTTTTTACAATTGGCAACATCACTGAGAAAAACTTGCTCATTTCCAAGTTCACACACACTGAAAAAGAAACACTATCCTCTGGAGCTTGAATTTCAGCCATAAGCTGCCATGTAAGGTGGCATGTAAGGGGGAATTGGGAAGACAGACATTTCTGAAACAGAGGGGACCCTGCGCCCCCTCCCCCCCCATATTGACTGCTTATGTAGCACAACATATGTAGCTTGCTTGGGGAAGCATCGCATATATCCTTTACATCCACTAGACCTTTCTTTTCTTTTTTTCTTCTCTTTTTTACACCACTGCTGTAAAGTGGGTGATGGGGCAGTCAGAGCCACACTGACCCTGTGGTCAGTGACTGCCATGCTGCATGTGCTTTGACCTTCAGGTCACACACTGCCCAATCCATGACTGCTACCCTTGGAAACCCAAAACAGTCTTAGGGTGTTCTCTGCCTGTCATACGGCGGCCTGGAGCTTTGAACCCGAAAGAGCTAACCCAGGGAAAGCCGGGCTGAAACAGACCCTGGGACACTTTCTCTCCTGAAGGAGGGTTAGGCTAGGAATTTCCACTGATACTTCCTCTGAGC